TTCTCCACCTGGATTATGATAATGGCGGGGAAGGTGGACAACGGGATGAGCCGGGCTCCGTAGTGTGTAATCTGTGCACGTGCCCTCAAACTAGCCGCGTCAAAAAAGATGATACGAATTTGTTCAGAGAGCTCAGCTCTAATACCAGTGTCAAAGAAACGGACGCCAGATTTTATCTATCTATGTTTATAGCTTTTGGTATGATCTATGAACCTTTATCCAGTTGATCAATGGGAGGCCGCACTTTAATCTCTATGTGCAGGCGCCCTCAGATCAGGCAGCTGCAGGATCTAAGAACAAACACCCAGTAGGTGGATACTCTATATATATATTGTTCCCCTGAATCATCAGGTTTCGCCCATAGTTCTTAAGGAGAGTTACAGATCTGATTAAATACATAAAGTGGTTACTTAGTTCCTATTGTATATCTAAGTCTATTCTATCATGCATCAAACGCCTTAGATCCACATAGGTTCAAGTGGAGGGTTCGCATTCTTAACCAAAGTTCTAGTAAACTCATTAAACCAAGCTCCAGCCTCTGGTGCTGGCACATCTGCAACCGCCGAAACGCACATCTCATCAAACCTTGGCGAAGTAGAATTACTCGTTCCGTCGCTCTCTCCACCTATCACAGATTTCCATAATCAGTACCATTTTATACAAGTGCTCGGATTTTTACTTACCTGGCTTGACCCAAACCAAAGCGTCGACCAAGGTATCATTGGTCTCAGTAGTAGGAAGGGCTCCGAATCCCGCGCCTTTGACATTACACCATTGGCCCCATTCTTGCCTGATTCCGAGCTTTCCAGCACGGCCCTGGTCGATGATGAAATGTGCTGGGAAACCCTCGGCTTCAAGGTATGGTGCGAGGGAGTTAACGTAGTGAGACTCATCCCATGAGTTGGACCACTCAGTGAAGTTCTCACGTGGAACCGCAATGTACGCTGCGGTTCGTATCAGCGACCCGAGGCATTTTCAAATCTATCCACGGTTTTTTGGGGGCATCAACTTACCATTGTAGTTGGACACGTTGGTGGCCAATCCTCTAACCTTTGCCTCAGTAGTGGAGTTAGAGTTCGCCATCCCCAAAACCTCAGCGAACAATTTCGCTGATGGTTCCAAGTTACCATCCCAACCGAGCCATCCACCGTGTGCAGCATCCAGATACAAATGTACATTCGAAAACTGGAGCTTCTTGATCGCGTATGCAACACCGGCCTTATATGCCTGTTCAGCACCCGCACACTTCTCAACTGCCAGGTTGGTAACCAAATTAGCCAGTGAATCGGGTTCGAGAATCACAACGAAAGATAGCTCGTCAGCCTTTGCAACAGAGATGGCCGCGGCAACATCTAGAAGGATTATTAGCATCATTTATTCGAGCTTAAACCGGAATATTCGAGTATACCGTCGATAAAAAGCTTGTATTTGTTGAGGCCGTCATCGGCAATCTTAAGCTCTCCGTCAGAGGCCTTTGCAGAGCAGTCACGGTCTGGAAGGTTGTAGACTACAAGCTCAACGATTTGAGCTCTCTGGGAGTTCTTTTGGATAACGAGAGCCTCGTCGATGTAGGTCGCAATGCTCGGCACCTACTCTTATTGTGAGCGCTACTATCTATACACCGCAGAGAGCCATGGAAGAATCATACATCAGCATTGGAACTGATCCAAGCAAAAGTTCCGGTCCTCTGGACTCTCTTTGTCCTCGCAGCATTTATAGAATCACCCTCTTGATAGAAAGAGCTGATAGTCGCTTCAAGCTTTGCGGCATACTTGGAATTTGCGTAGAGGACCCTGCCCAAAAACGGGTTTCCAGTTGATGGAATTACGATAGCGAGGGTGCTTGGGACAAGCGCAAGGGAAAGGAGCGATGAGAACAACATCTTGACGGTTCGGTAATGATCGAATGGCTTCTGGAGAGAGTGCGAAGGATAGTGAGACAATTATAGGCAGATGGGGTGGATTATATACCCCCCATATCGGTGCCAATATCTGCTGAGGTCCTTCGTTAATATAAAGCTATTCATTCTTTGATCCATGATTACTTTATTTTTCTCATGGCTAGCCCCGCAGTATGCATATGTTGTCCCACAACCCATTAACTCAGATGCCAGAGCATTATCACCATTTCCCCGGATTTAAAAGTCGATCATCCCGGTGCCTGTGTACCTGCATGTAAGCAACAAGGATTTATTCGGAGGTTGAGGGAAACCTACCGCCTCGGCACGTCCTCGCGAGATAATTCCGGATAAATCACTTCGCTTGTCCTGGTTTCCAGAATCTAACTATAATGAAGAGTTTATATTCGAAACTTTAGACTTCCATGCCAGGAGTGAGCTTCACTTGGTCGTTTTTCTTCAGCGTTGGTAGTCACACCATAAATCCATCCACCTGCCAAATTCACTAAACTTCACTGCTCGGTACCCCGGGCCTTGCACCCGCATCCTACCCATGTAAGCTACATATACATCGATAACGACTAGGTGAAAATCAACCACCTGCCTTCAATGTTATCATATAGAATAATCATTGTGTGTAACTTTGATGATGATAAATCTTCTCTACGGGTAGTGCTTGCCGTTTAATATATATTTTGATGCCATATAACCGTTCATCGTACGCCTTGATTCTTGACTTCTTGGAGGATTACTCGGCGCCTTGAGAATGTACTTAGTTTTTGCCACTTTTGCTGGTGGATGTGTTGTTTAGGAGTTCCAGAAACTGGAAATACAGGCCCGGTATTGAGAGCGTTTTGGGTATATATGAGGTCGAGTGGTATAGAGGTCGATATGAAAGCATAAGAATTGGGAGACTGCAACATAAAGTACACATCTAGTGATAAAAGTGGGCAGAAAAAGCAACCGTGGAGGAGATGTAAACAGATCTATGTAAATCTTAGTGGTGAGCAAGAGCGTTCCTTGGCTGCTGAATACATGCGAGATCTACGTAATACTTGGCCAGCTGTTCTTCTTATACTTCTGCAACAGACCTTGCGGAAGTACTCGGCAGACCTTACCGAACACTGAGTGACCCCGTATGATTTGGAAAGCTGGGTGATTCTTCGTGATTGAGAACGCCTTGAGATTTGGTTTTTCCTGTGCCCACCACCCCTCCCCCAAGACTTTCTCTCACTTTCTCTCGTATACTTACAAGTAATTAATAAAATGAAGTTATGCATAAGTCTATCTAATCTTTTTAGTCCAAAGCGGCAGAGAGGGTATAAACGTATATACGGGAATTCGAAAAGAATAGATACATGTACATCTAGCTATGTAGGCGGCTGGGGAGCGCCAAGCCGATGTTATGATTTGAACGTAGAGCGATGTATACCTTGTATAATAGGCCGTATAATGTACCTATGGCAACATATACCTCATTATCCCAGGAGTTCAAATGAGTGGTATATATGGGCGCACGTGGTGAGATGTTAAAACACGCTAAGAATCCATACGAGTGATAATATGTGATCCGATTCATCCCAAAATAGCTCTGTAGTTCCAAATCTCACCCACTTGTGAGTATCCTCTGGGCATCTTCAGATCCTTGAATACATTTGATTCCAATCACGGAATTCTATACATGTATGGGGTATATACTCATACCTTAAGTCGTCAGGCCAGGTTGAAGTGCCGGCTTTTAGCTTTGTTCGGTAATCAGGATATCGTGAACGCTGATCACGGAACCGAAGGTTTTCAGCAACGAACCCCCAGTATTTGATAAAAATGCTAGCGTGATAGTATGTCTATTAGACTACTGTAACCCGAGCTGCCGGCCGGCTTAAGGGATGTTCCTCCATGTCAGGTTGAACAGCCCCCATGATGAGCCATATTAAGATTCCCAGAATCAAATACGCTATTTCCAATGAAATAAATGAGAAAAGCTTAATCCATCCCTGAAAAGATAAGCCTTGAAATTAACCTAAAAATAAGTCTAAATAATTTGAATATGCATGTAGATAGTTACCGTATTCCTTATATGTACATTCAAAGGTTATATCTTAAGACCAGGATTTCTAGTGATTTGCCACTTGGATGATCATATGATAGGGTCCGAATATCCGGTTTTCTCAGGCAGATGGCCTGTTCGATTCTCGCAACCGGGTACATATAATCTGGTTTGAATAGTCAACAAACCTGTTCAAATATCTGAGCTGATGGTTGAACGGCTTACCGGCACTTCAAAGATGCCTGCTACGGCACTCATCCCCTGCAAAGCGTACCTAGTAATGACGTCTAGACATGATTAACAGTGACTCTTCTTGTTCGTTTCCTTGTCTTTCCTCAGTTACGATATATAGCCGATATCCATGCCAACACTTCAAGTCGAGTTAAAGAGTGAGACCCCCAGCGGCGATATTTTTATGCTGACTTGAACCAGGGCTCCTCAGCTCATAATTAGTACGTGTACTACATATAAACCCGTTCGAACTGCCTATTTGAGTAGTTGGTCCTGTCGGTGCAGGTTTGATATTGGTTTTATGTAATAACCTTCGTTAAGACTGCGCATTACTTGTTCACCACATAGAGCTTTACTCTAACCCAAATATGATTAGTCAATACTTAATATTGCAATAAATGTTCACGAAATACGAGAAGGGATGTGTCCCTGTATTCTGGAGTTTAGCTCTTAGAGTTTTTAAACTGTTTACAAAAGGTTTTATTAAACAGCCAGTCAATAATAGTTACGAGAAGATTTAAGAGACTCAATCATTTAGAAGTGTGAAATTAATAGGAAGAAAATAGTATTTGCCTTTAAAGCGCTGCATACGATTTGCCAGATTTGCCAGTTAAGATCGAAGCCCCTCCTCCAGATATCTCCATTCGTGTTTGTCCGAAAAACCCCTAGGAAACGTGCGGCGAGAAGGGTCCAGTATATCCATGTTCAACGCCTCATGGGCAGCAGTGTGCTTCTGGTTTCCTAGAGACAAGGCACAGAGCGCCTCAGCCTCGGGGATTACAAACAGATATGTTGTACATAGGAAACTTTTCTACACGCAAAATTCTAGAATCTCAAATATACCAACACGCTTGTACTCTCTGATAGTGGCCCTGTAAAATATGCCTCCTCCTCGCTGCCATCGCTGACCAGAAGCTCTCTCAAATTCGTTTCAAGCCCACACTGCGCACGGTTTTCTTGCATCCTTTTCTTCCTTTCCTCTTCTTTCCTCCAGTCTTCTCGCTCCGCTCTTAGTAGGTAGAGAATCCATCCACTCCCTTCATGGAAAAATGCGTTATCCACTGGTCCTCGCTTTTGCCTCTCTCTTTCTCTTCTTCGTTGTGTTGCTCGAGCTGTTTCTTTACGTGACATCAATAGCTTTGCGGCGGTTTCGTCCGCGTTCTCAGCTTTGAAACCTACTCCTGTGCTTTCACACATATTATCCAACACTGACCGCCACCTCGGAGATATGAGTGTTCCGCGAGTGACAATGTGCCCTTCTAACTTCGGGTTCCAGCTTCTATCGTACCATAAAGTGACAGTCTTACGGTAATCGATTACCATTTCGCTAGGATCGGTGGTGTAGTATCCGTTTACACCACTACGTGCGCCCCACCTCAGAACACTCATCTTAGGTTCCGGTTGATTAAAGGACCTATACGGACTTACTGCCACTGGCCACTTTACAGCGTCGTTTTTAGTTCGCAACTCGTCCCACCCTATAGTCTGTTCTGGCAGTCCCAAAACTCCCCCCTTATTAAACTCGGTTGGGGCGTAGAAAAGCGTTGGCTTTGAGCTCTCAAATGCGCCGTCCGGTTGTAGGTGTGTATTCAACGTATCGATCTTCCACTCTACCATGACTGGAGATTCATCCCCTTTGAAAATTCCAGCTTCATCCAACTCATCAAGACCAACCCTATACTCTCGAGTGCCGTTCAGCCCATAGCTCCCCACCCATGTCAACCTCACTTCTTCTCCCTCTTCAGGGTCTCGATATATGGGTTTGATATCGCTTTCAAATCGCCATTCTAGTATACGCAAGTCATCCTGTTTAAAGCGCCATCTAAGTGAGTTGGGGGTTTGGCTGAGTTCAACCATTTTAACTACTTGTGCATCGACCGACGAGAGGACATACACCGTTGAGTTGTTGCCGCCTCCTGGCGTCGTATTGGTATAAAGAAAAAAGTACTTCCCGCGGCTGTCAACGTTGATTGCACGTCTGCATTGGTAGCAGGACCAAAATCTTGACTCCGTGTATATAGCAGGTAAGGCAGAAGATATATTTGGTATCAAGCTTTGAAGACGTTGGTGTGGTGCAAGGGGAATGCCGGCACTGTCTTTTAGGTAGTTGAAGAGAAACAGGGAGTGGGCGTGATAGGCAACGAAGAAATACTTATTGCAGGTGGCATGTGCAAGGACGGTATTGCCGCAGAAGCTGAAAGAGGAGATGAGCTGGCCAAAATTGGAGCGTTGGAGTGAATAGATTTGAATGAATGTGTGGGCGTGTTTCATTCTATGAATTTGTTTAGTTGAAGAAATTCTGGTGAGCTAGCAATTTAACATACCTTCTTGGAGCTATTTGGATCCCAAAATTTCCTAGCGCCAATTCAACCCCCGTGTATTCCCCCCTCCGAGCATCTTTATCATTTGCGAATTTGTGGTGTATATGATGCCCATGTAGTACCATAACCCCTCTCCCACTCCAACATGACACGTCTCGCACAACTGCACTCTCATACAACTCTCCGTTCTCATTGTAACAGCCGCCGACTTTCGCAGCTCCATCAACAAGCTTCACCTCTACCTTTTTGTCATCCCTCATATCCCATAGCCAACCCGCCCACCCCTTGGTTAATATCTGCTCTGCAGTACGATAAACCAGCACCTCTTCTTCATCATCACAGAAAATAGGGGAACAATCTACATACTCCTTCCTAGAAGGGTATTTACGGCGTGGTTGTGTGTAAGAACGGCGGGCGACCCTGTCGTAAACGGCTTTTGTACGTTGAAGGTGCGGGAGCTGTGATTCACGCGAATAAGGATAATGTTGAACGAGGGCTCTTGAAACCAAATCGTGGCAGGAAAATATATTATAAAATGTTCTCGACACTTTGCGGAGGTTGATGATTTCGAGCCCGTCAGGAAGGTACCTAGTCATGTTGTTGACGATCTCTATAGGCAGGCTTTCAAAGAGTGACTAAAAGAATCTGTAAGCTCAAATGATACTGTGGGGAGTGATAACTTGTAAAGCATTTTTACACTTCATCCTATCCCAAAAATGGGTTGGACGCGTGATTAAGACTGAGAATCATACCGGCATCGTAAACTTCTTTCTTGAAAAGAACCTCGTCCCGCTCCCCTTCCTTCTATTACTAGAAGGTGTTGGCCCGCCTGGAGCAGGCAATTCTTCGATTTTGTATTGAGATATCTTTTCTCCGAAAGGCATGCCGATAATACTTATGTCGTCGAAGGCTGTGGGTGGAGAGCCGTTGAGCTGTTCTTATCGATTGTAAGCAAGATGAGGTCATTCCCGTGCACGGGGTCTCTTACCCCGCAGAAGCTAGACATCTGCTATCACTCGATCTGCTCTTTTGCGAAAGTCAAATTGACCTCTCGGTTGGGGAATCGCTGGAGCCTTATGGCCTAGTTTCTTGTTCGCTAATATTGTAAGGGTTAAAGCTTAGGGCTGGGCAGCCTCGATAAATAACTCTTGGCACCGTATGACTGCAAAGAGCGCTAGCACACATGTAAGTACGTCTTTGTATCACGCCGTATACCTATGCGTAGAAGAAAGGCGGGGGATAAACGTACCTGGGTTAACCATAAATACCGAGAATCTGATAAGATAAACACACCTATTTCACAGCAAGATTCTCTTATCAGATTCTTCGTATTTACCCTCAACGCCCGGTACATAGTGTGGCCAATTATTACAGGTAGTTCTACAGGCACAAATCACACGGAAACTGGACCTGTCGCAATAGGGTGTGGTCACTTGAATTTATCACAATCACACATATCATGTGTTACTAACCTACTGGATTGTTTTCTATAATTTTCTGTTCTAGGATACCGACCTCCATTTTGAGGGAACACAATAAGTTTACCGCGGCCGATACAATTCATAGCAAAACAAGCAATTTGATCCTCATACGTAATCTCCATACTTCAGCTTCATCCCGGCAATCGAACCAGCTTACCAGAGTTGAGTTCAGTTCGACATAATGTATTTCTAACCGCGATTTACCCAGCCAGGTCATATTACCAGCCTTTCAAAATTCGTGGTAAAGGAAATAACTATATTTACATGTATATACATACATATACCTAATACAATTGGATCCATGGAGGAACACTTGGGCCGCAGTACGGTTTGTCCCGCTTTCCATGACGTATATGATTGTTTTTCAAATGATGGTTTATGCACTGTTAGAGTCATGATGGCATTGCATGGACGAGGCTAGGCGGAATTTGGTGTTGATACTTGGTACTCCCTTACTTTGCGTAGGTACTGAGCCTACATAAGTTAGTTGGGACAGTCTAGGTAGCTACATGTACTTACCAAAACGGGGTGTGTACAAGTAGCAATGCCCAGGCGGCCCTGGGGCGCATATACAGTGATGGGGAGAATTATTGCGAAAACAGGGGTTGGCGAGCGTGCTAAAAAAGCCTAGCGAGTATCAAAATTCGTGAATTTACTAACAAAACGTCCCAATTTCAGTTTTTAGTCGAGTGCTGAAGCCGTGAACCGCTGAAAACTGCGTGAAGCCCGCCTAAAGCCCGCCTGAGGCTCCTCTTCGCCCAATCACAGCCCTAACCCACCTGTGCGGCCCCACAGGGCTCGCCAACCCCTGTTTTCGCAATAATTCTCCCCATCACTGTACTTACATGTATGTACGGTAATGTACCGCTTGTCCATGCGCCAATCAACACCTTTGAGCCTCAACTTTTTATTCCAACAAGGCAGAAAGAAACAGGCTTTCAGCCCTACCGTCCATCTCTCTTTGTTTGCGGGGTTAGTCGCGTTCGAACTTCGCCAGTGTTCGCCAGCGCACAACAGCCAAACGCTCCAGATTTGACTCATGCTCATGATCACCTCACTTGAGGATCCATTGCGGTCGCGATCTACCACATCTATATAAGCTTCCTTTGTAACATCCTCCTAGTCTGATCCTGATAAGTAGCTTTATGCCATAACACCACCATCCAATTGATTGATTCAACCCGCTAAGTCTGTCATTTACAGAACAGCGCAATCACCACAGCCTAATAAACATCCTATTATCACTTGTTACAATGCGTGTCTGTGGAATCTATTTTATTACGCCCGGTGATCGTGATACACCTCTCCCTATTCTTGCTTCCCGCCTGCGTACCGAAGTCGTCGACCTCACTGCCAACCACACACTCACTCAAATCTTTTATAATCCTTACCCACCAAAGTCTACCAATGAAGCTCTCGCCAATCCCAAGGAGGCCAAATATACCTTTCCTCTTTATGAATCATCTGCTATTCGGTCCTTTTCAGCAGAAATAGGTTCAAAATTCATAAACGGGGTCATCAAGCCAAGGCAGGAGGCCAAAGCCGTATATAATGCTGCCAAAGCTGCAGGGAAGCACGCGGCCTTATTGGAGCGGAATACTAGCGAGGTTTTTACCACCAGTGTAGGGAATATACGCCCGGGGGAATTTGTGTCCGTGGTGATCAAGTATGTCCATGAGTTGAAACAGGATATTGAGGCCGAGGGTGTGAGGTTGGTGGTTCCTACTATCATTTCGCCAAAATACGGAGATGCGGATTTTGCAAACTTTGGAGTGGGTTGGGATAACGGGTGGAATAACATGAGCGCCAAACTTGAAAAAATTGCTGAAGGAAGCCTCGAGACTAAAGGCCTGGCAATTGAAGTCATGGCGACCATGAATGGTTCGATTCGGGGTGTCCAGAGCCCAAGTCACCCCATTGCTATCAACATCGGTTCTCACGATGCGTCTGGCCAGGGAGAATTTAACCCGCAGATGGCTCGGGCAGTGTTAGCAATTCCAAGTTCATCAACCACAGGTCTCGAGAAGGATTTCACTCTGATCATTAGCTCTACTGACATTTCCATGCCCCGAGCCTTCCTCGCACCTCACCCTGATATACCTTCAAAGTCAACCCTCCTGGTCACACTGGTTCCACGTTTCGAGCTCCCTCAGCAGCGGCCAGAGGTTGTCTTTGTAGTTGATCGTTCGGGTAGCATGAACGATAAGATGGCTACAGTCCGCTCTGCGCTTCACCTGTTCCTGGCCTCTTTGCCAGTAGGCGTGCACTTTAATATCATTTCCTTCGGATCTAGACACTCAAGCCTCTGGCCCAAATCCCAACTCTATAGCGCTGAATCTTTCGAAGCTGCTAAGAGGCATGTCGATGGCATGGACGCGGGCATGGGCGGGACAGAAATGCTTGCTCCCTGTAGTCAAGCTGTGTCAAGTCGACTGAAAGACATGAATCTGGAGGTCCTTGTATTAACCGATGGAGATATATGGAAGACAGAAGTGTTGTTCGACTTTATCAACAAAAGCACTTCTACTGGCGACGCGAGGTTTTTTTCCCTGGGTATTGGTACAAGCGTGAGTCACCTACTCGTTGAAGGAATTGGCAGAGCTGGAAAAGGATATTCGCAAATTGTCGGTGCAGGGGATAATATGCAGAAGAAGATCATGCGTATGCTCAAATCCGCACTCACTCCACATGTCAATGATTGGAGAATCGACTGGGAGGGAAAAGATGCCATCATGTCCTCCTTTTCACAGGAAAACACAGCAGAGCCCACCATCCATGCCCCAATATCTCTTTATGACACTTCCAGCAATCCCGATGAGGCAAAACCGACAGAGTCCCCCCTCCCTGCACGTCCACCAATTCTTCAAGCTCCATCAACCATCCCATCTCTTTATTCCTTCACGCGAACAAGTGTCTACTTCCTCTTGGCGGGCTGCGCAGCCCCGAAGGTTATTCGCCTCCTCGGCACAGCACACGATCCCAATACAAACTCTATTCACCCCCTCGCACTCAATATCCCTGTCGCCACTGTTACCTCATCCTCATCGGCCCTCGGTCTTTACTCGCTCCTGGGTCGCAAGCTTTTACAGGATCTCGAAGAAGATCGCTGCGGATATCTACCCGTCCACTCTCCGCACAAAGACGACGAAGGCACATATTTGGGAGTTACGTTTGGGCTGGCGTCAAAATGGACGAGTTTTGTGGCTGTTGCGACCGGTGATGGGGACGAAGAAGAGGATATTGAACCTAATGTATTAACACCCCAAGGCTCAGATGATGAGGAACCCACATCAAAAAGACATTGCCAGAGCTATAATAGCCCTGTGGGAGTACTTACTGGGGCCTTAAGAGTAAGGGCAAGCGGATCGCTTTCAGCGAATATGCGCATGGGCGCACGCCCGAAGATCGGAACCCCGTCGTCGTATTCTCCAGCCCAACAACAACAACAACAACAACAACAACAACAACAACAACAACAGCAACAACAACAACAACAACAACAACAACAACAACAACAACAGCAGCAGCAGCAGCAGCTGCAACCGTTCAATGCGCAATATGTGAGGCGGGCGTCGCGGCGGTACTCCGCGTATATTAGCGCGCCCAAATCTACTAGCACGATCGAATCTACTAGCACGATCGAATCTACTAGCACGGACGACACACCCAGCGGCATCATAGCGAAGCTATCACGCTTGCAGTTATTTTCAGGTCACTTTGAGTTTTCACAAGCTTTACTTAATGTCATCGGGGTATCAGAAAATGCGATTAAAGGGGCGGGCGACTGGTCTGAAAACGGGGAAGAACCGACCTGGGTGTCAGTTGTTGTAGTTGTTTGGTTACGGAAACTATTGGCGAAATATAACGAGGAATGGGAAATGATGGCAGATAAGGCGTGGGACTGCGCTATGAGTGAGCTAGGCGCAGAGAAGGTCAAGAAGATGGAAGTTGAAGCGGAAAAAATTGTGAAGGGAAGTACCAGGGTCTTCGACTAGCTAACACACCGATGCAAACTTTATGTTTAGCCAATATTGACGGTTTTGAGAGAACTGAGGAAATCGGAAAATTGTTTTAACTATTGTTAACTTTATCTCTTGTTTATTACTTATTTGATATCTTTATAAATTTAGTAGTCTTGGAATATGGATTGTTTCGCTTTAGCAATCTCAAAATTATTCTTTGAACTTGCTTGAGCGACGATCAATCGAGTGACAATTCATGAGTCCGAGTGATAATCTATGGTTGAATCTCTAAACTCCGTAGTCAGTCATTTTCTATTCAACCTCTGGGTAGTAGAGTACCTCAATTCACTCTACACAGATAACTAACCAGAGTAATCCCTTCGGTGATAAAGGGAATTTCAGGAGCGTGATAGAACACTACTGAGTTTGAAACCTCAGTGCCAAGAGCTCTAGGCTCCAATAATTGTAGCATACTAGTCTAGTCCCCTATTACTTGATACCAAGAATGTGGGTCATTAGTACGTGTATTTTAACAGCCTACAGGGTAAACGTTTATTCCCCAAGTTGTTAGCTGGACTTGGCGCAGCTTTAGGTTGATCGTCAAGTAGACGTGCTATGCGACGAGGCACTTGAATCCTTTATAATTTATGGTGATTGTAGTATAGAAGAGGCGCGCAGAACACGCATGGTTATCCCTTAAGCTGTCGATGCTGACCCCCCTATAACAGAGGAATTAGATTTGTATGAGAGATCTATTATTTGATAAGAGAGATAACGAGATCTGTTAGTAAAGCCACACTAAATTTGCTTTTTTTTTGGTGGGTCAGCATTTTCGCGACAGCTTAAGGGATAAAGACTATAACTCTCTCTTCAGGCATTAACTTCATCATGTTTTGAACTTCCTCCGATTACGATTTGCGTATGTGTTAATTCCCAGAGCGTTCTTCATCAGATTTAACGAAGTGAAATTTAGGGACGGCTTGGCATCATTTTGGTCGATCTATTACAATCATTTCCCCACCCAAGCTCCCAAATTAATGCTACATTCATACTAACTGCCTCTAAATACAAAAGCGAACACCTATACTCCATCCCTAAAAATCTTAAGAGGCTCATAACTATACGGCATCTGTTCCACTCACTTGAATCACCATCCCGGCGCCAAAACCAAATCCATTTGCAAGGTCCTCCTTAATCTCTTGCCACAACCTTTTCAGTAAGGCCCTCAAGAACTCTAAAGTCTGCCCAATCCCATAACCAATGGTGAAATCCACCTCCCGTCCTGCAATAACTACCTGCACACGTGCCTTCAATGGCTGCCCTTTTTCAACCAGGTCCTTCAAAGATCCATGAAGCTCAATTCGGCGTATGTTAATTATTTCGTCGAGTTTTCCCACAATAGTTCTCGCAAGGCTCTGGTGGTCCTCTTCCTCAATTAATGTTATCGCTTGTTTTGCAACTTCCAGTTCTTCTGATATACTCTTAACTACCTTCAACTTCTCCGCTGCTGACCGAAGCTTCTTGTGTTCGGGTGATTCGGGTAGTGCCTCATGTTTGCTCTTGAGAGCTTCAATCTTGGCTTGAGCTGTTGCCTCAAAATTCTTCAGCTTCTTTTCGGCTTTCCGTATAGCTTCTTTTGGCTGTTTGACCGCGGTTTGATCGGCGATAGCTTTCTCAGATACCTCCACCTTCTGGTCATAAACATTCCTCTTAGCCTCTGCTTTGGTCTCAATCTTCTTAAGAGTCACTTCTTCGATTTGTTTCGCGGATTGTAGTTCCTTGACCTTTTCGGTCTTGACAGCTATCGCAGATTGGTAATCTGAACCTCGTAAGGCCTTCTGGGCTCTCTCTAACTTTTGGGTAGCGTATAAAAGTGTTTCTTGCGCGTCTGAGAAGTGTGCTTTCCGGTGGCCGACCTCGAGACTCTGCAAGATGTCAACAATGAAACTTTGCACGAGTGAAAGGACGAATAACTTACAAGTCTGATCCTGCTATAGAACGGACTCTCATCGAGTTCTTTTATTGACTCTTTAAGTTCCACCTCTGCTGCATCTAGCGCCTCTGAATTTCAAACACTTTGTTAGCTCGAATCACCCATTACTTTGGTGCTGCTGAGTTTACCTTGTGCTTTCTTTGCCTCTGTCTCTGCATTCTCTACATCATCCAACAAAACCCCAAATCTGGACTTCGTCTCCTCTTTCGTGGCTCTGACATCAAACAACATACTTCTAATCGCATCTCTAAACTCCTTTCTCGCATGCATTAAATCGATCACTGCACTAGCTACAAAGGCGGCCCTATCAATCCTCGCCTGTTCAAGTTGCTGATATGCATCATAAAGTGCTGCCTCGAACTCCTTACGCGCGTTTTCCAGGTCTCTCTGGAGCTCAAGTCTCCCCTCCTCTAGTTCGGCGAGTGTTTCTTCCAATGCGTCTTTGATTTGCTTCTCCTTTACCTTCCAAGCTATTTTGGCTGCTTCGAGGGTTTGTTTGGCTCTGAAAAGTTGCATATCCAACTTCTTCTTCTCCTCCTCGAAAAACTTCCTAGCAGCCTCAATTCCCTCTTCCAATGCCTTGTGGATCGCTCTGAAATGGGCTTTCGCATGGGTATTGACATATCCCAACACATCCTGCTCTAAAACCACATCCACCACAAAGTCTGCCTGCGCCAACCCGCCAATATCTCCGGCCCCTAGCACTCTAGCACTAATCTCTACATCCAATGCCTCCGCAAACGCAAAAGTAATGTCAAATCTCATACCAGGGTTGGGCAAAATATCAAACACGGACCGAACACTTGTGTCTAGGCCGAGTATCTTCAACCGCCCATCAACCAAGATATGTTGCTTCGCGAGTCCAAGCTCAATCGTCATTTGTGGTCTTTCGTCTCCTACACCACCTAGGAGTAGAGGTCCCAATTTCACTTCATCGAACAAGGCACTGATCTTGGTTGTTGCACCGATGGTACACTCAACAGTCGTAACCTTACCGAATATTTCCATTTCACCGGTAATCGATGCGCCGGCGGGGTAATGAGTTTTACCAATGCTCATACCTGTCGATATATAAAACGACAAATCACGGAATGCAAGGAGGTCTGGAGATGGAAGTGGGATATCATGACGGGATATTTTGGAGGCAAATGTGACTAGATCAGTAAGGCTGAGAGTACTGAGGGTTGCTTTGAGCAGCTGCTCTGCCGGGTTTTGGTTTATTGCCATAGCGAGCTGGAGGTCTGTGGCACCGATTGCGAGACCGCCAGAAAACATTATTTTACTATTAAAGAGATCCATATTAGGATGTATTCTTGAAAAATACATTAATATTATGGGAATTACCTTGGTGCTCCGGTGGCAGCTAGAGTGGCATATATTATTCCGATTTCGAGGGCAAGATCCGGGCCAATCTTTATCCTCTCATTGAAGAGCCCAAAGGGATTTATCCAATAATTTGTCATTTGACCAAACCCTGACGCAGAAAGTGGATCGGCCTTGAGCCCAAAAGTAAAAACTAAAGGCTGCTTCTGTCCTGCCACTTTAATATTCAACGGTGCAGTAAACATTAATTGTGGAAGCTTTGATGCCACGATCTCGAGCGATATCGGACCGGATGTTACACTTGGTCCGAGTGAGAACTGGTGATATGTCCATTAGTGCTGATTTCTAACAGAGATTACTAATAGTAAGGTGCTTACAGTTACTGGAGCAGGCATAAGAATTCCAAAACTAAAGCCACTGTTTGAAGAATAAGTTGCTCTCAGTATCAAGCCCTCAACTCTTCCTCCAGAGACGTTATTGAGTTGCTCAATATGACGGTCAATAACCGCACAAAACTGGACACCTGAAGATGGCATAACACTATTAGTATTCAACAGAGAAATTACTTACTAAGATCACATTTGAACACTCTCGACAAACCTCTTCTGATCGGATATCCCGAAAGATTAAACTCCCCATTCACAGCGTCTCTATTCGACGCAACTAACGCCACTCTCTTTAATCCTACATCTAAAAAGGATCCCTTCACCTCTGGTGCCAGCCTCGCCAAGCTAAAGTCCTTTTCCGTCTCAAGTTCTCCATAAACGCTCCATGCCACCTCCTGTTCCTCCTCAAACTCTGTATAAAGGCCCACAGACACAGTGATATCTCTCACTTTCACCTTTCCGTTAATTTCAAAACCGCTCTCGCGACTCGTGGTATTTAGCTCAGTGCGACCGATAAAGATATCAAAGTTTGCCTGCTCGATAGTGATCTCGCCAAGATTTATATCGAGAACACTGCCGGTAATTGAAATGCCATCACGGTGGATTGTAAGAGCTGCAGAGAGGGAGGTGTGTCCATCTATTGTAGTTTTCCCGGTAAAAGCGATCGCGGCAGGGGAGATGCGGAATGTGAGGTCATCGAATTGAACATCGTGGTTGAAAGGTTCAAGGGTCCGGCCGGTTAGATCTGAATAAAATTGACGAATAGTAGCGAGGGAGATGTTGGGGACTGAGGCTTCAAGATAGAATTGGCCTAGATGTATGTGTTAGTTGATAATCCGTTGGTATCATGACGTGACTACTCATATCTGTCCTGAGGAACCTACCAGGTGAGTATATTCCTTTCAAGTTCAAGTCAGCTCCTGGAAATTGCAATACTGCTTCCGTCTCAAAAGATAACTCTTTAAGAGTCTCTTTTACAGGAAATTTTGCTATCAATTGTACAGAGGAAAGCTAGAGCACAGGCCCCAAAATCAGCACAGCATCCATCAACATATTACTTAAAAAGAATGACCCACGTTTAGACCCTTGAAGCCTCCCACATTGATCCACCCACTCCCCTCCTTCCTTGTAAGCCTCAATACGTGAACTCCTTCCACTTCTTCCCGCAATGAATACTCCATCCCCAATGGCACAACTGAACCCGGAATCTCTAAATCCACCATTCCAAAAAAGCCGTACCTACACCTATATCTCGAATATTCATCAAGCTTCTCAGTACCCTTCAGCGCCGTTAGTTCCACACCAACACTCATAAATGTTATAAGTTCCCC